TAAGTCGTTTTGAGACAGGGTCTCCCTGTAGGCCCAGCTGTCCTAGAACTCACTATGTAGACCAGACTGGCCTTGAACTCACAGAGATCCCCCTGCCTCTGCCTCCTGAGTGCAGGGATTAAAGGCGTGCGCTACCACGCCTGGCCTTAAAAAATATTTTTAAAATTATTTTTTGTTATTTTGTCTTCTTTTCCCGGAGCTGAGGACCAAACCCAGGGCCTTGCACTTGCTAGGCAAGCACTCTACCACTGAGCTAAATCCCCAATACCCCCCCCCAAAATTATTTTTATTTTATGTATATAAGTGTATTGCCTGCATATATGTGTGTAAGTGCACCTGTGTTGTCCAGGCCTGCAGAGGTCCGAACAGGGTGTTAAGATACCCCTGGAACTGGAGTTGTCAGCCACTATGTAGGTGCTGAGAATTGAACCCAGGTCCTCTGCAAGAGCAGCCAGTGCTCTTCAGTATGAAACCCTGACAAAACAGGGAAAGGAGGGAAAAGGGGCTACAGAGGGCAATGTAAGACAAGGATGAACACAGAAAGCAGGCTGTGAGAGTAGAAGCTTGCTAAGGGGCACTGGGCAGATGGAGAAGAAGCAAGACTGAATGAACAAAACCAAATTTTGTTTGATAATCCTATAATGAAATCTACTTTTTTTTTTTTTTAAAAAAAATTATATATAGCCAGGCATGGTGGCACACACCTTTAGTCCCAGCACTAGGAGACAGAGGCAGGCGAATCTCTGCGAGTTCAAGTCCAGCCTGGTCTACATAATGAGTTCTAGGCCAGCTGGGGCTACAGAGAGACCCTGTCTCAAAAAGACCCCCCCTCCCGAAAAATTATATACACTTGATCCTTTTCTAATTTCTCTCCTCTTCTCCTAACTATATAATCTATATCTTTTACATCTGTTCTGTTTTTCAAAAAAATTTTATAGATTAGCTTGAAATTTCAAGTTCTTAAAAATTATTCCAGTATTTGTTGGGATTGACTAATAATGCACTCCTGTAGTATTTATTGTCTGGTCATGGTCAGTGGCCCATTAATTGATTTTCTTTGTTTCTAAGATGGTTTTTAAGGTTGTTTTGTGTGTGCCAAGGAAACTGTGAACAAATTGAGTTCAATTAGATTTTATTATGTACCCAAATGGAGGAATGGAGCCCAGGTTGCATAACTAATTATAGTTATGGTCATGTCCCAGAATACTGCAGAGCTTTAAATTGAGTTCCAACTCCTGTAGTCTTGAATGAAAAGCAAGATTTAATGAGGAGGACTGGGGAGATTGCTCAGTAACTTGGAAAGCCAAGTTAAATTGGCTTGAATTATCCAATTTAAATATTAGCTGAAGTTATTTATGACTCGATGTTTTATTTTAAAAGGGTGAATATAATTTTGTTTTTTAATATTTTATTTATTATTTTTATTTTGTGTATGTATTAGTCACTTCTCTGTTGCTGTGATAGAAACACTGACCTGAGCAACTTATAGAAAGAAGAGTTTATTTGAGCTTACGGTCCCAGGGGAATTACAGTCCATCATGGCAGGGAGGCATGGTGGCTGGAGGTAGCTGGACCAGGAGCAGCAGAAGCTAAGCTCTTACATCATCATGCAGGCACAGGAAGCAAGAGAGCGACTGGAGATCTAGCAAGGCCTAAGAACTCTCTAAGTGCACCCCCAGTGACTTGCTTCCTCCAGCAAAAACTTCCCAAAACAGTGCCATCATCTGGAGACAAAATGTCCAAACACTTGGAGCCTATAGGGGACATTTTCATTCAAACCACCACAGGGTGTATGAGTATATTGCCTGCATGTATGTGAGTGCACCCGTGTCATACAGTGCTATGGAGGTCAGAAGAGAGCTTCAGATTCCCCTGGAACTGGAGTTAAGGATGGTTCATAGCCACTATGTGGGTGCTGGGAATCAAACCCGGGTCCTCTGCAAGAACAGTCAGTGCTCTTAACTGCCGAACCATCTCTCCAGCCCCAATTTTAGGTGTTTTATTACATCTTGGTTTAAGAACTAGACAGAAACTGGGTGTTGTGGGGGCACAGGCCTTTAATCCCAACACTCAGGAGGTAGAAGCAGGTGGATCTCTGTGAAACTGAGGCCAAGGATCTCTGTGAAACTGAGGCCAGCAAGTTCCAGGCCTGCTAGTGGGAGTACAGGAAGACCTTGCCTCCAAAAAAAAAAAAGCTAGACAATAAATTGAAATTTCCGTATGGTTTTATGCATATGACATTAGTTTGTCCCTGTGGTTTGTAGAAATGTCCAGCCAAATCACTTGTTTCTGGGTGGCTGCAGTGGTCTTTGCAAGAAAAAGAAAAAAAAAGTCATTCATTCTATTTGTATTAATATTTATCTAAAGGTGTTTTGTGGATAACCATAGTGGTTAGGTTTTGAACATAAATAATTCCCATACATAGACAAAAGTGAATGATTCAGGATTAATAGCATAATAAAATTTAGACAGTGTGAAATTCTAAGGCAGAAGTTTCAAATCAATGGTTTATATTCAGTCCTCAGAATATTTCATTTGACTTATTGAGTGTTGCTAAAACTTCCATCAGTTGCTAGGAACCAAAATTTGTTTGACATGAATATCTAACGGACTATTTTAGCTTCGCATGTTAATAGCAGTGGTCCATTTGGGTCAAACATACAGATGATTCTAGTTTGCACTTCTACCTAAAGTGGTTTCAGTCAGTCCTGTCTGTGCTGTAGAAACTTTCAAGTATAGAAGACAGTTAGATCTAATACTGCTTTGCAACTGGAATCTTCAGCTCCGGGTTGGTAGGAGATAGTAGGGGTGAGAATTTTAGTGTGGAACAAAAAAGAGTGTACATGGGAGTATACAAGAAAGAGTAGTGGAAGACAACTTCAGGGGTTTATTTATTTAAAGTATGATAGGGTTTTGCCTGTGTGTGTGTGTGTGTGTGTGTGTGCGTGTGTGTGTGTGTGTGTGTGCGCGTGCGCGCTGTGTGCATGCAGTGCCTGCAGAGGCCAGTAGAGGGCATGCGATTCCCTGAAACTGGAGTTATGCACGGTGTTTAGCTGGCATGTGGGTGTTGGAACCAAAGTCCTCTGCAAGAGCAGCCCATGCTGAGCCATCTCTCCAGCCCCTTTGCTTGCTCATGTAAAAATATCGGTGACAACACCACATTTCAGCCTGTAGAAGACAGTGTTAAACGTAAGATTATTTTGCATCTGGGAAAACAGTGTCCCATCCCCTCAAAATGCTTCCCAGAATATTCCACACGGAAACCAGTTTTGTTAAATCCAGGATTCCTGAGTTACAAAATAAGCAATTAAGGGAAGAAGGTTTTACATAAAAATGACTAGTCACTTTGGTTAGTCAGATTATTCTCTATGTGAAGTAAACAATTACACTGGTGAATTTTATAATGGCTTTAGTTGCTCTTAGTTACAAAATTATAATCAAGTCATTCTGAAGATCTCATTGTACCTAAGATTATTTTAGGCTTTGAAGTGGTAAAACAATCCTTTGAGTACTTTATGGTTTACTTTAGTTTTACCAGATGGGTAATTATCATGGAGTATGAATTGAGTTCCTAGAATAAAACTGGTGTTTAATACATTGATTCCAAGTGAACGTAAGCTGGGGTGAGAATAATTTTAGCTCCTGATACAATTGCACAGGGAAGCTGCCAGTTTTCATTCTCTTGTTATCCTGTTTCATAAGCTGTGATATGAATTATTTTCTTAGCATACTATTTGTCTTTGAATGTCTTGAAGATGAAATTTAGTTTGTTTAGCCATTCGTTGGTCTTTTGTAGGGCTTAATATGATGCTTTACTCCTAGTAGGTCCTCCATAAACAGTGTTTGGATTGATCCAAGAAAATACACATATAACATCCATGCTACAGCATGCATAGACTTAAAAAGAGTGTATGGGTATGGTATATGTACTTGTTAGTGTGGGTGAGTGTATGCCCTTGGAAGCCAGAGGTCAACATTATTTTTCCTCAATTGTGTGCCACTTTTTTTGGAAATAGTCTCTCACTGAACCTCAAACTCATTGATTTGCCAGGCTGGGTAGCCAGTGAGCTCCAGGGATCTGCCTGTCTCTGTGCTCCTACTCCTTTACTGCTGGGGTTAAAAATTCCATCTTCTATGCCCCCTTTTTATGTGGGTCCAGGGATCTTGAGGCCTCATGCCTGCATGGCAGACACTTTACTACTGAGGCAGCCCCTAGCCCTCTACTTTTAGAGTTAGTTGTAATAAGTAACTTGAAAGTGTAATGATGTTTTAGACTTTGTTCCTTTTTTTTTTTTCTTTAAACAGATAGAAGGACAAGGACAGAATCACCAGCACTGGCTGAAGGTAAATATGTCTTTGGGGGAAATGATTATTTACATATAAATTAAAATTATTTAAATACAAATTTGCATTAAGTAAATTGATTTAGGGAACATGTTCTTTATATTGAACTACTAGAAATATAATTAGATAATATTGTGTTGTTTCTGACTTAGAATAGGAATGGGGAACATGTAAATTAATAGAGCTTTTATTTACAGCTTTTTTCAGTAGAAGAGATGTTTTTCCTTTCTAAGTAATTTTAGCTGTAACTAGTAGAGCTGACCAATAAAAGTCAAACAAGTTTAATAGTATAAGAGGAGAAAAAGGAGGGAAGGAGAGAGGGAGGGAATGAATAAATGAGAATCTCCACTGGGAACTAGAAAGGAAAGACAGACACTTTGTATTACCTTAAATAAGAATTTGACCGCTCTCATTTGTTCTGGCTCTTTAAAAAAGTGTCGGGGCTGGAGAGATGGTTCAGCAGTTAAGGGACCTGGCTGCCTTTGCAGAGGACTTGGGTTTGGTTCCCAGCACCCACATGGTGGCTAACAACCATCCCTGTTCATAACCAGTTTCTGAGAGCAGATGCCCTCTCCTGGCCTCCACATGTATTGCATGCACTTGGTGCTCCTACATGTGGGAAAATACTCATGCACATAAAATCATAAAGAATCTCAGAAGGGCAAGATGGCTCTGCTGATAAAAGTGCTCCCACTGAGCCTAACCTGAGTTCCATCCCCAGAAATTGGAAGGAGTTAATCGATTCCAATGAGCTGTCCTCTGACCTCCACACACATAGCTACATATGAACACACACACCCATCTAAAGAAAGATTAAATAAAGATGACATAAATCTTAGAAGGAAAGAGTACTTAACAAAAAAAATGTAGTTACCAAAATACTTAAATTTGTAATCCTGCAATTATTTATTTACCAATATCTTACTTAAAACAAGTTAATAGATATTCAAAAATGTTTTATAGAGGTATTTGTGGTTTTTCAACAAAAATAATCAGTTAAAAATGTCCTTTTGTCCCCTTCTGAGTCACAAACAAGAACATAATTACATTTTGAAACCAGCTTGTCATGTTTTTAGAGTAGACTGTTGTCATGACAGTCCCTCAGAATTGTCTCCATTTTCCCTGCTCTGTGTCTAATTCAGGAGTGCTTAACCAGTTGTCATGTGGTTTGCTGATCTAGAGAAGCCTATCCATTCTGTCCCAGAGTAATGTTTCTAATAACGACTCACCATTGTGTGAGGAAGCCAGTTAGATTGAAATACTGTCAACAAATAGTAGAAACACAAATTTGTAATAGAGAAATTAGTGTTTCTTCCATCAGTATATAAGTGTTAGGAACAAATGTGCTATTCACTGTTGTCTAGTTGAGTGCACATAGCTGTAATGTGAAAATACCTGTAATTTTAATTAATGACAGATTTGTAGGAACTTCTAATACTACTGTAGTTTGTCAACTATAATCATGATTGAAGGAATTGCTGATTTTCATGTAGAAGTTAGTAAAAAGTTTCCTGTTGAGTTTTATAGATGATTGCATTTAAAAAATGTTTTTATTGCGTTTTTGTGCATTTATATAATAGATCTTAATCAAATTTAGACTCCCTCCCCCATCTGCCCCCCCATCGCATTTCATGCATTCTGTCATATTTATTAAGTCCTATCTGGTCAAGCATTTGTACCCAGATGTCCCTCAGTACAAGTTCATCCACTGGCGTCTAGTCATTGCATCTAGAGTTACTCCCTAGTACTCTCCCTCAACCAGCAGTAATCAGTTGCCAGTAGTTTCTCAGCTAGGGTTGGGGCCTGCTGCCCATTTCTGTTGTTCTTTGCTGAGTTTTTGACTGATTGAGTTGGCATCAGTCTTGTGCATGCTGTCACCATTGTTGTAAGATGATTGTGTTCTTTATGAACCCCAGATAATGACAAAAAACTCCATCATCCACCCTTTATCCGCCCATAAATATAGTTCTTCGGGATTTAGGTAACTGATCTTCAGGAAGGTGAGAGATGCTTGGTATGGTTGTATAGGACTGTAATCCCCGCATTCTAGAGACTGAGATGAGATGAGGAGTGCAAGTTGGTGGCTGGCCCTTACATAGAGGGACCCCACCCACTACCACCAAAACAACAACAACAACAACAAAACACAAACCCAAACAACCAAAAAAACAAGATATACATTCATTCCTATTTGCTGTGGGAAAAACACTGACCAAAACCAATTTGGGTGGAAAGGGTTTATCTTACATCTCCCAGGTCACAGTTCATTAGTAAGGGAGGCCAATACGGGAACTCAGGGCAGGAACCTGGAGGCAGGAACTGAAGCACAGACTATGGAGGAACGTTGCTTACTGGCTTAGTTCGCTGACCCGTGCTCAGCCTATTTTCTTATACAATACAGGACCACCTGCCTACGGGTGGCACCGCCTGCCTACAGTGGGCTAGGTCCTCCCACATCATTCAACAATCAAGAAAATGCTCCACAGACATGGCCACAGGCCAATCCATTAGAAGAAATTCCTCAATTGCGGTTTCTTCTTCCCAAGTGTGTCAGGTTGACTGCTAAAGCTATCCAGCACAATTGACCTTGTCAACTTGACACACAGACATACCAGTATTAAACCACAACCTTTCCATTTCTTATCCCCAAGATAACGATGTTAATATTACAGCATCAGATGGTACAACTTTAAAATTCCCACAGTCCTTAGGAAAAAAAAAAAAACTTCAAAAATTCAAATCCTCTTTTAAAAGTCTTTTAACTGTGCACCTCTAAAATCCAAAAACAAGTTGAATACTGTCTTATTTCAAAATGGAAGAATCGGGCACACTTAAGCAAACCCTGAGTCTTGCAAAGTAGCTCAGGGCTGGGATTCACTCACAATCTTCCAGACTCCAAAGTGCTTCAGCAGCTCCACTTCTCTGGCTTTGTTGTCCACAGCACACACAGCTTGTCTCACAGGCTCAGGCTGGCTCCACTCCAGGCCTACTGCTACCCTTGGTGGTTGTCCCATGGTCCCGGCATCTCCAGAATGCTGGGGTCTCTACTGAAGCTGAGGCTGCACCTTCACCAGTAGGCTCTTCTGGCCTCTCAGGGTGCAAAGCTTCAGATTATCTCCATGAACTCTTCAATCCTGGGGTGTCTTCACAACTGAGGCTGCACCTTCACCTTTCCTGGCCTCTCACAGTGCCAAGCCTCAGCTACTCTCTAGGACCTGTTCATGCCTTCAAAACCAAGTAGGTAGGAGACTTACACATTACCAAGTCCTGCTTCCAGCTTGAGATGGCACTTA